GGAGTGAAAAATTAAAGCAAAATTGCAGGGGGTTACCAGAAGCAGAATTTCTCATTCTCTACTGATGCAACCAGTTTCTGCAACACTTTCTTTACTATGTTGCTTCAACAAGCCCACAGACAAAGAACTGCTACGGCCCAACTTCCCACACCTGAGAGACAAATTCTGGTACTGGGCCCCTTAAGAATTGGTGTAAGCCACTATGCCCAGCACAGGCCCCTGAACTCCACTCAGTCATTCTGGAGAGTGAGGCCCAGGGCAGAGACTGTGCTGAAACTACCACCAGAACCAGCAGAAGATTTTCTGGCACCCTCTCACCACAGAGAGAAGCTCAGATGGGCAAACAGATGGTAACAATTCTGAAAAGGCCTGGATTCCAATGGGAGGCCAAGAGGTGAAAAGGACTCACAAGCTCACACGTGGAAGCTATCTGGAAGCTATTTGTCAAGACCTGGAGAGACAGGCAAGGGCAAAACCCAGCTGTGCTAAGGATATGGAAATATCACCCTGGAGCCATTAGCAGCCCAAAGCCCAGACCCCAGTGCACCAGGGTCACACACTGGGTCCTTGGTCACGTGTGGCCAGTGGTGTTCTGCAGCCTCTGTGCAACCAGTATTGACTCAGAGGACATTTTCAGTGCTGATCACCCCACCAATAATCAGTCCAACCAAAATGCGAATATTGAAACATAGCAGAAGGAAGATGGTCTTGATATTACACAGTTAAACCCAAATTAGGATTCTCATCAGGCACTTTATCCACGCCATTCCAGTGTCAAGTCAAGATGAAGATCCACTCATCACCACTAAAGGGGGTGCAGACACTGCAATGAACAATCCAAATGTTAGCCTAGGATGCGTTTTTCTCTTCTCAGATAGCCTTTTTCATGCTAGCATCTCATTGCGTTTTAAAGAAGGCACTAAGCCTCCAAAAAGAAAATGGTATCAGCACTCTGTAGAAGAAGCCAAATAAAGAGCAGCTGAGATCACTTGGCTTGTTCAGCCTGAAGAAGAGGAGACTGAAAGGACACCTCATTACAGTCTAGAACTTCCTTATGAGGGGAAGCAGGGGGGCAGGCACTGCTCTCTTCTCCATGGTGACCAGTGACCAGATCCAAGGAAATGGCCTGAAACTGTGTCAGGGGAGGTTTGGGTTGGATATAAGAAAAGGTTCTTCACCCAGAGGGTAGCTCGGCACTCTAAGAGGCTCTCTAGGTTAGTGGCCATGGCACCAACCCTGCCAAGGTTCAAAAAGCATTTGGACAACACTCTCAGGCACATGGTGTGATTCTTGGTGCTGTCCTGTGCAGGGCCAGGATTTGAACTTGTGGTTTGTTTCCAACTCAAGATATGCTATGAATTTCTGATTCTGTCTATACAAGCAGGCAAACCACAGCAGAAAGGTTTCATGTCTTGCTCAGACCTATCTAATCACTTTGCAACGTACCTGGAAACATACCCATGTACCCATCCTCTTTGCCTTGTACTTCAAAATTATGCTTTCTGTATCAGGCACCTTCCCACACAAAGAATTTGGATTGCTTGTTGTGCTACCCCAAAGCGGTTTTCCCTCCAAGAGATCTCTCTGCCTGCAAATACTACACTCTGACTTCACAAGCTTCTTTAAGTAGATTTCAAAGGTGTTCCTGGCAGTCCCACTGAATAGCACAGGAGGATCCTTTACTTCCTCTCTGTTTACACAACATGCCAAGAGCAATTAGTCCCCTGGGAATGAGCTCAGCAGCTCCAAGAAGTCTTTGTGACACCCTAGACTTCCTTATGCCTCAGGTGAACCTGGTGCCTTCATCTTGAACCCAAGGATATCCCTGCTCTCCCTGACTTTGTGCTCTCAGCATTGCCAAAAAAGTCAGATATGCTAAAGTGGTAGCAGCCATGCAGGGTGACAGCAGGCTTCATTAAATAGCAAGTGGCTGGCAGCAGGGCCTGCATGCAATGATGTGTCTGTCCAGGGACCATGATCAAGGGGTGCTGGGAGAGGGCATTCACTGCAGCAAAGCGAGTGTCTGCACAAGCCAGGGCATTTCTGCCCAATTAAGGGAAAGAATAGAAGTCTTCTGAGCTAATTTTCTACTCCTTTGGACAAGTGAAGAGAAAAGCATGCATTGAAATATCGTCACTCAGCCTCAACAGAGAGACACTGGGTGGCCAGCTGACCAGCCAGGGTGGGAAATACATCTGCCAACAGTCCAAACTCATGTCTGGGACATAGAAGGGCTGAATTACTGTACCCTGTGAAGCTGGAAAGGCATAGCCTGGCATCTAACCAAAACAAGGCTTTTTAAACCTGCTCCTCGTACAGCCTTCCCTGCTGCAGGAGGCATGGATGATGGAGATTTCCATTTATTCACAGGCCAAGAAAGGACAGCAATTCCCCGACTTCTTTAAAGCACTCTGACTGCCCCCAACCCACTTGTCTCCCAAATTTGCTCCCCTTTTTTATCAAAGGGCACCAAATCACTGGAATACAGGGAGGCATTTGGACACCACTTGCCACTGACCCATGGGAAGAAGCAGAATCTTCTTAAACATCCCAACACAGATCCATTCTACACCACAACCTTCTGGACCAACATTCCATCACCATCCAACATAAACAGAATTTGATGCAAAGCATTTGGCATCTCTTCATCCACCCTTGAGTTACCCATACCACATCACACCCTCAAAGTGTCTTCTTGTCTCACAGCACATTTGCTTCAGGCACGAATTCATCTTGCCTGATACTCTTTGTCTTCTGTCAGCCGCACAGAGCTGCAGGGATGAGAAGTAAGGCTCAGGGATAAGAGTGAAAGCCACATCTGCTGCTCAAAAAAAAATGTCTAGCTGATAAACTTTTCAGCTGTGCTCTCATGGGCATGCATATGATGGAAGGATAAGAATCACAAAGCAAGAAAAGCTTGATGTTTGAAGCCCAGATGAAGCCTTCGAGTAGCCTGTTTAATATTAACATTCCTCATATGCATCATTTACCTGACTAAGAAACACAGGATGCCACACACCACCCAGGCAGTTAAGAGCCATTTTTGTTGGAAAATGGAAACAGACTAAAATACAAACACCCTGGTCCCATTTTATAAGTGGGGAATGGGGGCCCTGAATGATTTTCATAGGAGAAATAAGTACAGGTAGAAAGCAAAGACTCATCATAAAGCTTCAACATGTTACTGGCTGAACGTTAACCAATTCAAACTACAAAAATAATACAAATGACCAAATAAAATATTCAGGCTACATCTCACTGTGCATGTGTGTGTCACGTCATGTTGTGCCCTCAGTACACTTTCTGTCAAATTAAAGCCACCAGCTGACTATCCTTTCTATATAACATGGATTCCACAACCATGGAATATTAATGACATCACAGTAAAAATGTTATTTTAAAAACACACTGCCATCTCCCCTCCAGGTTTCAACTTCTTTTGCAAAAATCTTTGCCACAATTAATCCAGAAGTGTAGAGAGCAAATAGACAAGGAAGCCAATAATTCTCGCAAGGTTTCCCCCCCCCGCAAAAAAAACCAGCAGTTTGGAAAGCTCATTTAAATTAGCCCCTAACCTTTATCAATACACTTCTCAAGACAGTGCTGAAAGATGCTTAAGGGAGAGCAGGCAGATGCTATGCCTGGCATCCAAATCAGAGAAATCACCTGGGCCAAAAGAAACATTTTCCCATTTACTTATGTGCATTCTGAAAAAATAGATGGCTGGGCACAGGCTTAGCAGCTTTCTTCTTCTCTCGTAAGGATGTGAGACTAATTAAAGTCTGTCAGTATCAGTAGAAGATTTGGGTGATGTGAAATGCAAGACTGGGCCTTTTGAATGTTCTGTGAGCAGAAACTTGGCTAGAAGGTTGAAAAGGGGGTGAGGAAAACCGTACTGAAAGCACAAGTCTCTGCATTATGTATTCATGGGATGTATGCTGCCAGCAGGACTGAGAAAAACCAACAACATAATAGGGAAACAGAAATCTCACTTTTAGGGTTCTTGGAAAATAAACGCATAGTCCTTTCTTTTAGTGGGTCCATCTTGTAGGGTTAAAGGAATTGTTGCAAGCAAGGTTAAAACTAGTACGTCCAACAAACCAGAGGCAGTGAAATTCTTTCCTAATGAGAGGAAATTCACAACTGAAAATAATTGTTTTTAACTTACTGCAACATACCAGGGCCAGCAGATGTCTGCAGATACCCTTTTAAACTGACACTACACCAGAGCAAATAGAAAAATAATGGAGACATGAAATACTAACTCTACAGCAAGGCCTTTTGAAAGAGAGGCGCCAGATGGGAAATGCACAGGGCAGCCTGCCCCATTTCCCAGGCTCTGCAGAGACAAGGCAGACTTCTAGCATTTCCATGCCTCAGTCCCAGGCCAAATTAAAGTCCTGAAAAATCAAGAGTAACTGCATCTAGAGCAAACTGTAAGCAGTTTGTACAGTGTTAAGAAGGTAAACAAGCACTCCTTTACATCACTATAGAACTCCTAGGAGGCATGAAGAGATCTAGGCCCAAGGAGGTCAACAAGTGTGGAAATTCCTATCATCATCACGTCGACAACCACTTTCACCAAAGGCTCTTTTTATACATGCTAAGCAATTAATTTATTTTGGAGTAAGTGACATAGGTCAGATCATGGAAGCAGTGATAACTCGATGAAAGCAAATGCCAGTGATTTTGTTTCTGTGCCATGCAATGAACTGGACAGTACGAGTGCTGCCTTCCTCCTGGGGTAGCAAGAGAGCAGCCCAAGCAGAGCAGGAACCAAGAAGCAGTGCCTTTACCTCTCAGGAGGGGTATCTACACTTACCCCAATTTTATCCTAGAGACACAGCAGAAGTACCCTGAAGGTGTGCCCCTGAAGACAAGACCACAAGAAGCAGCCCTATGAATTTACTGATTCTCGCCTCAATAACCCTATTCTGTCTTTGCTTACCACGCCTTTTTCTCAAGCAATGCTGCTTTCCTCACATGAAGTTCTGCCTTACCTGCTGCATTTTTTCCAGGTCAAGGCTGGGCCTGCTGACCTTATCCCCATATCCCTGTCGATGTCTCTTACAAGGCATGACTTGCTCAAGGCCCGCCCCAACGCTTGTGAAGATTAAAGATCCGGAGGCCGGGCTGCGCACCAGGGGCTGGAGTCTCTTGGGAGGGGAGGCACTGAACAGCACGGGGCTCGGGCTGGCCTGGAGGCCATCGCCCTGCTCTGCCACGGGCCGGAAGGACATGGCGCACAAGTTCTTCACTTCTTCATCACTGGAGGAGGTGTTGTTGCCGTCGCTGCAGCAGGTGAGCCGGCTGACCTGGGACCACTTCCGCTTCTCCGCGGCAAACTCTCGGTTGATGCGCTCCAGCTCCTCTTCCGAGCTGTGGCGGTCAAGGCTGGCATGGAAGAGGGCCCGAACCTTGCAGCATTGGCTCTCCTGGTTCTGGAGCTGGTTGGTGGCCAGAGGAGTCAGGGTACAATTCCGTCTTCTCTCTAGAGGGAGGAGGAGATTGAGAAGTGGCAGAGCAGATCTGCGTCCCACAGCCTATATAAAATGGGCGTGTTTTCTCCTGACCTGCTGCTTTCATCTCCTCCCAAGTAAACTTCTGAGCTGTTTCTCCACCTTCTCTTTCCCAGATGAAACACCCTCCAGCTGAATGCTTCCCTTTGCAAGTTTCCAGACTTTTTTCAGACCAGACTGCTAAATGCCATCCCCTTTCAAACCATCACTTGGAAGTCTAGCTCCAGAGAAAGAACACAGATCTGTCACCCACCTCACCTCCTCAAGGTGGAGACAAGCCTACAAATGTATTGCTAGGCACTTGCCTCTAACCAAAAACATGAACTTCTAGTTACCAGTTCTCAGGGCAGAAGAGCCAAGTAAGTTACACTACCTTAAGTGTCACCTTTATGGCTCAAATAAATGAGATCTGGTTTCTGGAAATCAAAGTCCTCTGTTACAAGACTTGTCACACAAGAGAGCCTGTCTTCAGGCACAAGCTAGGCATGCTTTATCTCTTCTGCTGATGTCTTTTTATGCTAAGCATATGGAACAGGGATTTGAATTCTAACAGGATATGTCCTGTGGTCAGGAACTGAACTTCTGCTTCCTCTGCATAAGAATCTGGTTCAGCCTGGGCACAGGGCACACACTAACAGCAAACTTAGTGTAATTTAAGAGATGCATTTACTACAGATTTCACCTGCAGTTCTAAGCAACTTCATATCAAGACCAAAAACAACAGCAGAGCACCTGTATCATCTCTATCAAAGACTCTCACTAGATGCAAGAATAGGGCTGCACAATACCAACAGTCTAGGAGGAAGGGAGAGAGATGATCAAATAATGAGTCCAGGGGAATTAATAAACTGAAGGTTAAAACTCAAAATAGCAAGGATGAGGAAACCCAGAACAAAGATGACACAAGTGCAAAAGCACGGAATAGAAGATAAATTTTTAGTCCCAGCTCTCCTGCTGGCACAATTGTGGACCATCTCTGCCCCATGTCTCCAGCACTGGGACTTTAACACATAGATAACAATGTCTATTTCTGGTGGTAAAAATGCAACTGCAGCATCTGATAATACCAGCCTCTCCCTGTGAGGTCCCAAATACTTCAAAGGTGACTGATTTAATGCATCTGATTGTGGTACATTGGGGACTGAAAAGGAGGCACTTGCAAGAGCACGAGTGAAAAGAAAAACTGACTTCAGCCGTAGTATCCCGGGATCCTTCTATCTTCATCCCTTTACCTCTGTCGATCTGAGCAAGTTCCTGGTTCTCTCCCTCAGAGTCATCGCTGTCCTCATCACTTGGGGGATAGGAGATCTAGGAGGGGACAAGGAGAAAGAAAAGGCTTCATCATGAACACTGAATATTGCTGCCCAAGCCACTTCCCCCACCATCCCCCTCTCATATCCTGGAGGCATCCACCTCACCTAACCACACACGCCCAGCCATAGCACCTTCCTGTATACACATCCTCTATCCCAGCCCAAATCTCCCATCATATCTTCACACAACACATGGACTACTGCTGTTTCCACCACACTGCCCTGCCAGATCTTTCCCAAGTACAAAATATCCTGCCTTTCACTTCCCAGACATGTAGCTTACAACCATCATGGCCTACCACATCCACATCACGTGGATAACTGAATCTCCAAAATCTCCACTGCCGAGATAAAGACACATCCTGTCAACAGCACTTGCAAGGCACCCACAAATGGAAGTGGCACGTTAGCTTTAGCCATCCTGTGTATGTACCCACACTTCCCCCTTGAAGTTCACACACAATCCACCACAGAACAGACTCACCTTGCTTTCCTACAGGACAGCCCTGAAGTATTTAATAGAAATAAAAGAAACATGATTTCACAGAAACACAGACAATACTGTTAAGCTGTCCCCTCCAAGATATAATTTACAGTACCACTGAACACCTTTGAATGCTCCAAGATTAACAATTCACATATTTTGTCAATGTCAAGACTTTTCAGGAACATCTGCTCTGTGTCAGCCAATGGACTTCAAGCCACTTACTCCCTCAAAAGATGTCTAACACTGAACAAACCTGGTAGCTGAGAGGATTTAGAGGTCTGAAACCAAGCTTTTATAGGTCAGATAGATTACACTGCTTCTGAGTTTCCTATACAGAGGAAATCCCACCTACCTTGTTACTAAAGTGACTTTTGTTCAGCCGCATAGAGCCTACCTGGAAGTTATTAGATCAAACCACTGAGCTACACAGCTTAGTATGTGTCTCTGGCAGCAGCCAAAACCAAGTGAGTCAAAGGAAAATGCAATACTTAAAAGAAACCTTTATAAGAAACAGTTCTGGAATAACATGATCATGGCAAGATGAACTTCATTATTTCTTACAACTTTTTATTCAGAATAACAAACATGGCCATCATTCTTAGCTGCCTCAAAATACTTGCTGACAACAGAATCTAATGGCAGTACATTTCAAAAGGTTACATGCCATTTCCATTTTACACCTTTGATGCGCTGTGCTTGACTTTTACGAAGAGGGGGCAAGCATGCAGTCATTACACTGATTTGGACCCATTTTACCTCCACCACCCTGGGGAGATGTCTTTGTAGTGTTTCAGCCACCCAAAGACACAAAAGAGCAGCTAAACTTACCTAGGTGTCTATGAAAGACACACTGCTGATGCAGAGAAATAGTAATAGTTGAGGAATTCTGACTGATACTGAATTTGACAGCTATTAAATCAACACACCTATTTTGTGACCATCCTCCAGGATTGTGTTTGTGGCATTTTGTTCCCCTCAAAAGCATGTTGACACCTTTTTTCCCCCCTCCTCCTTTAAAGCTACCTTTCACCCTTCTGTATTTACATTGCCCTTTGAGAAATCAAAATATATTTTCCTTCCTTGCTAGTCTTTAAACTATGTTCTCAACTGTCAAAAGATGAATCAGGCAAGTCAGATTGCAGATTTATCCCCGGTGCAGATATTCCTGAAGTAAACGGAGGACATTGTTTTTCCTTCTACAACTACAATTTTCTTGTATGTGTTCACACACATGCATCATTTAATAAAGGCAGCTGGCACTGAGGAACACTGCCAAACACAGAGACTTCTAGTTGTCCCCAGAGCAGGTATAATACCTTGTTTGTACCATGGTAGTTCACAGAGGGGACAGCTGACACTGAGGTGCCATTGTGTAGCTGCTGTACAGACAGACAGAGGTCCTGTCTCTGTTATAAAAGCTAAGGCTCCCTTTCTAACTCGAGAGGTACTGACCTTAGTCTGTGCCTCATTCCCACATAAAAACCTTTCATTTGGACACGGCAGGGTTTTCAGGGAGGTTTAGCAGCTCTGCGTGGGAAACCTAGCAGCTTCAGTTTCTGTACAATGTGAATGTCAATATATGGCATGGCACTGCTTCAAAAAAAAAAAACCAATGACATCTAGCACATGCAGGTCAAACAGCTACTGCACAATATCACTGGCTTGAGATGCTTAAGACAGGAGCTCAATTTGAGTCAACGACTGACATTTGAAGGTCTTTGGTTTGAAGGTCACAGGCTCCCAAAATATTCACTCTTCCCTGTACAAGTGAAATTTTACCATCCCTTGGCCTCATATGGATAACTCTCCTCTACTGAGTCCTCCCCAGTCCCTCAGGCAACCAGACCAATACCCTTGTGAGTTGCCTTAAACACTCTGCTAGAGGTTTTCTTCAGAGCACCTGAAAGAAAAATCTTTCAAACAAGAGACTCTAGCTCTCATGTCCCCCAACAGAGAACCACCATTCATAGCAGGCTAATCATTAATCTTGCAGAGCTGAAATTTTTTACCTGAAACTCCTTGTCACAATACCTCACATAGGCAAAGATTAATGGAAGATAAAAAAAAAAAAAAAAAAAAAAAAAAAAAAAAAAAAAAAAAAAAAATTTTTTTTCGCGGTAAAAAAAAGATTCTCTGTCAGTCTGGATAACAAGACTTTCCAAAAACTAGAGATCTGTGGAATCAAAGACTAATGCTCTGACTAGTTGGAGATAAATACTTTCTCCTTTGACTCTTCCCAGGCTTTAACAGTACCCTCTCCTAAACATTCAAAAACATTTCACTAAACACAGCAGTACTGTGTTCAGGCCTCCAGCCTCCCATATATTAGCCACAGATTTACTTTTGTCCAAGGCAGCACAGCCTCATTTTCCTCAGAAATTCAGAACTGTGACACTGCTGTAGCAGAAGATTCAAAAACTTCACATCAAAAGTCCCACCAGATCATGGCTTCATTCACAGCACATCAATTGCAGAACTGTTTATACTGAAAGACTCCTCTTGGTGTCACAATAGTCCAAGCTCTTGCTCAAGCTGGAACAACTAGAAAAGTTGCCAGGACTCTGCCCAACACACTATGTGCTTTAACATGCAAAATTGAAAAGAATAGAAAAAAAAATTCTTCAATTCACATAAATGTGTAAATGTTTACAACCTATGGCACAAAAGAAGCCAAAAACCAAAGGACAGGTGGCCATCCACCCTTCAGTCTTTCTTCAGTAAATGCATCAGAAAGCAGCCTCCTGTTGATGAGGACCACCCAGTGTTACACCTGGGAACTTCAGCTCAGGCACCTGACACACCTTCAGTCAGGATAAGGACTTCTTCTGTTCCAGACAGAAACAAACTGACTTCCCCATGCATTTCATTTCTCATCCATCTCTAGTAAGGAAATACAGCTTGGTGTAAAATAACCAGATGGTATTTAAGGAAAACTTAAGAGTAAAGCTTACACTTCTGAGGGAGTTTTAACATGAAAGACAAATTAGGAGATACAAGAAATAAACTAGAGACAGAAAAATATGTCCTTCTGATGACACTGCTGCTTGTCAACTGAGTAACAAACTGCAATTGAAACTGTCCAGGTCCTAAAGGGTCACATCACCCTCAAAGTCTAAAGCTCTGAAATACCTCAGATAATTAAAAAGTCCCATTATGTTAAGGTGGAGTTCCTCTTGGTTTGGCTTCCAGAAGAGAAATTATCCTGCTATCATACAATCAAAAGCAATGACATTAAAAATCATCTGTGAGCTTACAAAGGATAAGAAATCTCAAATTTAAGACAGACTAAAACTCTCCCACCAGGCTCCACTTAAAGGCTGCATTGTCCCAAAAACCTAAAATACCAACAGCATGGTTTGGTTCAGCATAGGTATGTTTATGAGGAAGAGATAATACAAAGATACAACTGACCACAGGCAACCCCTTGTTCCCAGCTTGAATGAAGAATGTACACAGGCTGGAGGGCATCATTCCCAACCTCCCTCTGGGAGTAAAGGAGGGAGGGAAGGAGGGAGTTTACCTCCAGGGAGGCAGTTTCCCTGGCAGAGGCCAATGCTGCCTGTGCTGCACATACAAGGCTGTTTGTGACCCAGGCTTGCTCACTTCAGGCCAGCCACTCCAGGGAATCTCTGCAACTAAGTGAAGTCCCTTCCAAGAGCCCTGGAAAGAGACTCTGCTAAGTTGGTCTCACACCCCGGTTCCTGGCACAAAACCAGAAAGCAATGGATGAGCTCAACAACAACTACTGGTATCTCTGTGATGGGGAACTGATTTCCATTTCTTCAGACTTCAGACTGGAGAAATGAAACCAGTACTCACTCACCTCCCCCCTGCCACACTGCCTACAGAGCAGCTGCTACAGACATGGGCAACCTACAGCACAGGGCTCTGCTGCTGGCTCTTCTCCATTTCCATTGCTTGGCTTTAGCAAAAACATTTCACTGAATTTCCCTAGTGTTATTTTTCCAAGTCAACAACTGGTACAGTTGCCACGGGACACTGCCTGATCTTGAATGAGGGAGGTGCCATCCTGCCAACTATAAGAGACTCTGAATTAGAGAGAGTTGGAAAACAAGGTAGATGAGACACTGAAAGGCAGTTTTGAGCCATGGAACATTAGGAAGAAGGAAGGAATGAGTCAAAAGACCTTCAAATTAATGTGCAACTCCTTTCCCAACATCTCCTTTAATTTTGAGAGATATTCAGTGAATATCAGGAAGAATATATGCTAGTACAACAGGCTGGTTGTCTCCTGAAGAAAAGTTGCCAAGTTAAAGTTCAGTTCAATCTTCAAACACCCACATATGAGATGTGACTGCCCAGGCTATATCTGGGGTTTACAGCTGGGGTCCTTCAACAGCTAAATTCCCAGCAAGAACCGTCCTGGTTTGGAAAAGCTCTTCTAGAATATTTTTTCCATGTTACTATGTTCCTCTTTAATTATCACAGTAGGTCTGCCTTCAAACTCTATTCACCATTTCCTTGCACATGGCTACAGTCAAATCCAG